CTCCGCCCCGCCCAGCCCTTTCCGCCCCGCCCAGCCCCTTCTTCCTGTCCCTCCCCTTTCTCCCGCCCCGCCCTCCTTAGCTTCCCCGCTCCACTGCGCCCCTCGCTGGCCAACCGGCAGGCCTGGTCTTTTGCTGCTTTTGAACAGCAACCCTCTCTCCCTCCTTTGTACCTTCGTACAAGCGTCTTGCTCTCCCTGTGCTCACTTTGGGAAGCACTGTTTCCAAAGCAGGGAGATGCCTTCAGAAGTAATGCAGGAGCTGCTGGCTAGGAATGTAGCTCACTGGTAGAGCGCTTACCTATCTTGCCCAGAGCCCTGGGGTTGATACCCAGCATGGAGTGGTGGTGGTGGGGTGAGAGTTAATAAGCAGGAGGATATTCACTAGAAAATGTTTCCCCAATATTCCCTAGAAGATTTGCCCCAAACTAGCAAGTGTAAAAACAGGCAGATTAACTGTATAAAGACTGGATAAGAATGAAAAAGTATCAATGACATTTTGGTTACTCTATCACCACCACTCTGATGATGTTTCTCTATCTGGGTGTCCATTACTCATCCTAAATGTAATGCATCCGAAATTAAACTCACAAATAATGAAGCTCGAACTATGTGCCAATTACCAGACTAGGTACTGGGGATATGAAGATGCCTAAGGCACAGTCACCATGTTAATAAGCATTATACAAGTGCTATAATAGAACAGCAGTGGCACAAGGGAAAGAGGGACCAACTAACCCTACTAGCGAAGAGTGTGCAGCACCACCTTCCTAATGACCATGTTGTGAAGTGGATTGTGTGTGCTGCTGGTGGTGCTGGGGATTGAACCTAAAGCCTTGAGTAAGTCCTCTGGCATTGAGGTAAACACCCCAGCCCTTTTTAGTTTGTAGTTTAGTTTAGTTTTGTTTCTGAGACAAGGTCTTGCTAAATTGTCCAGGCTGGGCTTGAACTTACAATCCTCCTCCATCAGCCTCCCCAGTAGTTGGGAGAATAGGTGTGTGCCACCACATCTGGTACGAGGTACACATATGTTGGATATGTAGCAGTGTAAAAGACAGATAACAGGAAATTCCAAACTCAGAATTGTCCAAGAGCAGGCAATCAAGCATTGGGTGCATAAGAAAGACTGTAAATAATTTGCTATAACTAAAAACTAACACATAATAAAGGAAAGGGCAAGAGAAAATTCATGAGAAGGGGTGGAACCAAGCCACAAGTACAAAGTCTTGGGTACCTGTTGCGAGTCTGAAGTTTATCCCTTAGGTAGGCAATGCAGAGCATTTAAGAAAGACCACTTGGTGAACAAACAGAGGACAGAATAAAGAGAGGGGAAGTGGTTTCAAGGAGACCTCTGCATTACTCTGGAAGATTGTCCGGATAGAAATGATCTTGGACCTAACAAACTCAGCTGGCAGAATCAACTGCATGGGTAATAGAGTGAGGCAACGAAGAGAACCACTGAGGTGGGTGGTCGTGGGTAAGATGTACTTAGTGTGGGGTTAAATTGAGATAGGCACCTGTAGACTTAAGGAAAAGAACTGGTGAAGTACATGCTCTTCACAGCACTTGTCGGAAACTTCCCCCACACACCCACACAGGGTAAGCAGTACTTTCCCTAGCTCTTCAAACAGATCTGTAATGGCAATTCCATGTTTCCCTGCGCAGCATTAGCAAACTTCTTTCTCTGCTGATTTTTCTGTGCATGTCATCACCTTCTACAATATGATATTGCTGGGTGTGATGGCGCACGCCTGTTGTCCCAGCACTCAGGAGGCTGAGGTAGAAGGATCATTGTGAGTTCAAGAGCAGCCTGGGCTACAAAGTGAGCTCAAGGCCAGCCTGACGTGCATAGTGAGACCCTGTCTCAAAAAGACAAGCAAATAAATAAATAAGTAAATAAACATAAAATATGATATTGTCTACTTATTTTGTTTAATGTCTGCTCCTCATCTCACTCTGATGTAAACTGGAAAAGGAATTTTGCTAATGTTTAAATAAAATCTACATAACTCCAATACACTACATTTGAACATTTCCCTTCTCTTTTTTCTTTGGTTAATTTACTTTTAAGATATTTTCTTGTAGGTGGATAATAGAAGAGCATATTATAACTCCTTTAAATTTTTTATGAAAGAATACTTTTTATCCCTCTCTGCCCAATAAAGGGCAAAAAATTACATAGTAACATCTAGGTTGCACTGAGCTTTATATACTCCAGATACAAGCCACTGAGTTATATTTTTTTATTCCTTACCCACTATAGTCTGTCTTTTGCTTTTTGGCTTCCCTTTCTTGAATCAGGCATCATCCCAACATTCACTTAGAAGTGTTTGTTGAGAAAGGCTCTCACTATGTAGTTCAGGCTGGCCTTGAACTCACTATGTAGTCCAGGCTGGCCTTGAACTCACTATGTAGTTCAGGCCTGGCCTCGAACCTGTAGCAATCCTCCTGCCTCAGCCTCCTAAGTGCTGGGATTACAGAAGTGTGCCACATTGACTTAAAATTTTAAAACCTACCTGCTCCCCTCAGACCTAATGTTTCTTTTAGGGCCATATAATAAATCACAATGGAAACTCAGCAGATATACTTAAATAATTATGATCAAGGAAAAGGGAAAGACAGACTGGGAGAAATGTTAACTTGCAGCTCCATAACCATATTATAACAAATTAAAAGTCCTAAAGTCCAGAATGACAAGACAACTACCCTCATTAGGAGAGAGCAATGCAGTGATTTGAAGCACAGAGTATATGCTCAAGAAATATTATACTGTAATAAGGTTGCTTCTATGGAGGATGCGCCATAGTGATACTAAAACTACTGGTTCTCACCGATAGGGTCAAAGAATGTTGGACTGGGAGTTTAGCACTTCATGAACACTTGTGGAAATTCTAGATCTCCTTGCTGTAACTTGGCATCACTCCCCCACCCTGTAGAGCCATTATTCTACATGTATCGATCCATTGTGATCTCCATAAATTGTATTGTTCCAGAATCATCTTGATAGTTGAACAGAGTAAGACTCCAAAATAGTTTTCAAGCATGCAAGTTTTGCTTTCAAGATCACTCCATCCCCTTTCACTTATGCTAACGAAGGTTTTAATTTAGTAGTTCTTGAGGAGAAACCCAGTGTGCTTCTTGTATTGGATTATGTCTCTTTGGTTGACAGGAGAGACACTTTATAATGAGGCTGGTGATCAAAATATTTATGCTCTGGTATCATGTGTGGAGGAAGCAGCAGGAAACTACTGTTTCTCCTGGAAATTTCTATTTTTAAAAATACATTTATTTTATTGTGTTAGGGATCGATTCTAGGACCTTGAACATTCTAGGCAAACACTCTCTCACTAAGCTGGCCCCAGAAAAAAATTTTTTTGACATACAGGAAAAATAGAAAAATCAAGTTAAGATAGCAAAATATAGTGCATATTGGGGAAAGAAAGCCTGCTTCTTCCATTAACTTTTAAAAAGAAATAATAACATTTATTTAGCACTTCATAAATGCTTACATATAAAAAATATTCAACAATACATGAGTAAAGGCAGATCAAAATATGAAGGTTAACACAGCTGTGCATTTTAAGTTGAGGTTGCATTTTTCTTATTGTCTAGATTAGAAAAACACCTAGCAAGGGCATTTTAAGCCATTCCTAAGTATTTTCAACCTGAGGTAAAGTGTTCTCTCAAAACATGAAGATAATCCCAATGAGTATCTAATTATCTTTATAAAGAGGGCATCAATGTCTTTCTTTCTCATGCCAATCTAAATTTTTCTGGTGAGCCTGTGTGCTCCAATTTGATGTATTGCTGAGTTTAAAGAGCATTCTTAATCCTAATTTTCTTTCTTATTATCTAGCTGATGGCCCTATGCTATATACACTGTAAAATGCTCCTCACATGAGAAGTGTAGTAGTTTTTTCAGGGGTAGAGTCTGCTGAATTGAATATACAAATCTTCACAGATTTGTGTACTACCCAAATGTTTATAAAGTCATACTTAGAATTCTGGATTACTCTGAGTTGTACCTTTCTGCATTAAAAGTCTTTAAGTTTCCAGGGTAAGTTTTATTCATGAGGCTCTTGTTGTAAGTCGTCCTTCATTAGTTTTCTTTTCTTTTTGTCTTTTTGAGGGATGATCCTCCTGCCTCAGCCTCCTGAGTATTGGGATTACAGGTATGCGCCACTACACCCAGCACCTTCATTAGCTTTCTGTTAGCCTTGTCACTGCACATACTTATCTGACTAACTACATTTTTTATTTTCAAACAAGCATCTATTTGTTTAGCTCAACAAAGATTCTGGAAATCAAACCAAAGCTTAGTGGCAGTTTATTCAAGTGAAATAATACAGTGAGAACTTAGCTTGTACAGGCTGAGGTGCAAGACTTGATATAAAGACTGGATCCTAATTTCTTTGGCTTGGAGGACCTCATGGCACAGTCCTCTCTTTTGAGACGGTTACTGAGAGTTCCCGGGTAGTTAGAATGTCTGACCACTTGGTTGTTGGAACAGCCACTGCTCTGGGGTCCTCTGGCTGTCCCGAGTGGTTGCTCACAGTCAGCCAACTAGTGGAGCAGCCAGCTGGCCTGCCTCCCACCAGGCATCCACTTTACCGCAGCCTGTGCTAATATCGGTGGGCAAGGCAGCTGCTCTTCCATTAACTTTAATAGTTGATAATCATTAACATTTTGTAATTTGAATAATTTTGTTTTCTTTGCCCTACTTTTAATATAAGTAAAATATCTGCTGTAAATTTAACAAATGTACCCAATAGATATAGTTACCTCACTGCAACTTTTATCTCTGATCTTACAAATTTGATCTCTGATCTCAATTTTGATCTCACACCTCCACTCAACAGGTCATTTCGTTCTCCTATGAATGAATACATACATGGGACAGAGGACCTGAGGAAGGCTAAAGTTACGAAAATCCCTTAGGTTTGAGGGGAGTAAATGATGTAGCTGCCTCACGCCGCCCTTCGCTTTGCAAAGTAAGTGGAGGAAAGGAATGACAGGAGCCTAGAAGAGAAAGGGCTGGAAAGCAAAAAGGAAACCATGAAAGGAATAGGAGGCGGCTGCCGTGGGGCCTCAGCACACACATCAAACTTGAAAAATAATGAAGTGTTTTACACGTGAAATCACTGGTGGAGCCCATTCTTCTATGTAAATCCTAAATGGCTAGTTTAGGATTCCACCGACATCTGTCATCTCAGTTTCTCTTCCAAACCAAGGCCCTTCCAGAAAAGCATTACTTCCTATCAGCTTCTTTAGATAGAAACAAAAACCTCCTTCCACTTGCGGAAGTGTTACAATGTCTTGCTTTCCTGGAAAATGAAAGTAATTAGGGGCGAAATAGGCACTTCCAGTGATGGCGAACCTTTTGGGGCTTCGAACGATAACAGTAAGCCGTGGCACGGGTACCATATGTTGGCCACTACGGCACTGACAAACTCAGGATTCACAGCATTTGCGCAATCGCAGTTTCCCGGCTGCCAGGGCGGAAGGGGCGGCTACTATGCGCGTCATCTTTCAGCGACGGAAGTTGGTAGAGTCGGGGCGTCCGGAGAGGTTGGTTGGAAGCGCGGACTGGGAACCTTCTCGGTGTTACCCAGGTAGGGTATTAGTGGTTTGGGATTTGGGGGCGGCGGGTGCGCAGCGCGTGTGTGTGTGTGTATGTGTGTTTCTGCCAAAATTAGATACTTAAGGTTAAAAATAGCCCAGTAGTGTTAGCGTTGGGAGAGGTTGGGGTAGAGGCGACGCTCTTAGTCCTTCGATTTTTAGTTTAGCCACGGAGAGTTGTTCGTTGCTTTTTCTCCTTTGGTTAGCCTGTAGCCCTGTTGAGGGGCGTAATTGTTTGGCACAGGGAATATGATTTTTGGACTATCTCCTGCTGAAGTTTTGAGATTGGAACTTCTGTTAAAGGATAGCGCTAGCCTTTCGGTCAGATCTGAAGCCTTGTAGTAGCTGAGCGATACTGTGCGAATTAACTTCTCCAAGTCCCAGTTCCTTCACCTGGCCCTATTGTGAACAGCATAATGAAGTAACATGTATAAGGTATTTGTTATTTTGCCCTTTGTAGGTTAAGCGTTCAGTACTTTGTTTTTCGTCTTTTAGACCGGACTCATAGAGCTTGGAGGAAAAGCACAGATAAGAAACTGAGATCTTGCGGGGAATATAGCTCAGCGGCATAAGCGCCTGCCTGGCAAGGGCAAGGTCCTAAGTTCGATTCCCAGTACCAAAAAAAAAAAAAGAAGGAGAAGAAATTGGGATCTTTTAAGCTTGTCCTTAGAAAAATGGGGCTTGGTTGATTGTGTGAGCTCCTTTGAGATAGTATTCAGTGTTTGAATCTGTGATTTCAGAGACTAACAATGGACACTCAGCAGGACGTTCAACCTCCAAAGCAGCAGCCAATGATCTATATCTGTGGAGGTAAGAGTAGCACTTAGATAAAGTAAGAGCACTTCAGATTCTTAGCAACCATTAAAAAAAATTCTTGTTAAGATTTCACTTTTTCACCTGAGTAAGTACATTGCCCACAACTCTTCTCTTTCCTACTTAGTATATTTAGCAATATCAGCATGTTGATATTAAGTATATTTACAATGTGTTATATACATGTACATAGTTGCCCATGATGAATGTAGTCGTTATGTACTGTGAACATATACTGTACTAATAAATTTTCTTAAAAAAGAGATTGAGAGCCTGGCGTGGTGGCCCACGCTTGTAGTCTCAGCACTCGGGAGGCTGAGGCAGGAGGATCATTGTGAGTTCGAGGCCAGCTTCGGTTGCAAAATGAGCTCAAGGGCAGCCTAAACTGCATAGCAAGACCCTGTCTCAAAAAGATTTAAAAAAAAAAAAAAAAGATAAAAAAGAGATTGAGCGTATATTAGTGCTTTGGGTTGCTTTGGGTAGAAAATATGGTTAAAATAACTTGTTTGTCTAATGTTTTTCTTTTAGCCATTGAATAAATGTGTTTTCTTTTTCTAGAATGTCACACAGAAAATGAAATTAAATCCAGGGATCCAATCAGATGTAGAGAATGTGGATACAGAATCATGTACAAGAAAAGAACTAAAAGATGTATCCTTTTAACTATGCTTTCTAAATATAAGAGGAAATGCAAAATAATGCTGGGTTTGATACAGACTAAGTAATGGTAAGAATAGTAGTAACTTTTGGATTACAGTACTTTAGAAACAAATAGGATCACCATAGACCAGTGTATACATTGTAAATAAACACTAATTATTTTGGTTCTCATAGGTGTATTTTTTAGGGATGTTGTACTTAATAGAAGTCCTCCTTCTTGAGCTTGAGTTTATGAACAAACTAAATCATACAAGGAGAAATACAAATATTGTGTACATTACCTAATGAAAAAAGTAGGGCCTACAAATTAGCCCAAATACAGGGAAAAAAATTTCATAAGCAAGTTATCACTAAAATAAGCAAGTTATCACTTTTAATATTGCTTAATGTTTTTTGATGCATTGACTTTTGTATCTGGAAAAGGTTGTAATAAAGTGAAGGTTTTTAAAAGATAATCTCCATTTATCATAATAAATGGTTCTGTTCTTGTGTACATATTAAGTAAAATAGAAGGCCAGGCATGATGGCCCATGCCTGTAATCCCAGCACTCCAGAGGCTGAGGCAGAGTATCAGTGCCAGTTCAAGGCCAGCTTGGGCTGCAAAATGAGTTCAAGGCCAGCCTGAACTGCATAGTGAAACTCTGTCTCACAAAGATAAAGATAGATAGATAGATACATAGATAGGGATGGAGAGAGAGAGAGAGAGAGAAAGGCAAATTAGCTTACTGCAAAGAGAAATTGACTAGGAAACCTTAAATCTTCTATCTGTTTTTAGTCCTTAACTCCGTTTAACAGTGGTGGTTTTTGATGCTCGGTGAAACATGAGAATTCAGAAAAGTGTCTTCGTTGGTACCTGGATTTGTCCCTTAATGAGTCTCATTGTTGGATAGCTTTTAATTTAACATACTTTTAATTTAACATACTTAAGAATACAACTGTAAACTGTAAAAAAATGATTTCATTTTTATTTCATTTTCAAAACCAGATTGTTTTTAGGTATCTAAATATACTTTGTATAAAGAATTTTTTTGTTCAGTGATATGGCTAGTAATTTAATTTTATCATGTATGTAGTCTGACAACAATAAAAGTTAAAATTGTTTTCCTAAACCATACTTTTAATAAAATTTATTAGAAATTCAGATTACTAGAGCTCTCTAAAGATCTGATTAAATACGTTCCTTAGAAACCACTGTTCTTTGTCATTGTTTGTAAACATGATAGCACCGTTTGGTACAAAGTATACCAGTATACTAGCTGCTGTGTAAAGTTATGAAAAATAATAATAGAAATCAGAAGTGAATAGATATATAAAAAGATGTAAAACAAGTTGCTTTCTCATACATACAGATACATCCCACCCTACTGAAACAAGTCCTATGTAGAAGACTAGTCAAGGTGGAGTGGTTACTGGAGCAGAAAACTGAATGATGAGAAGGAGCTGGCTATAGGAAAACAGGAAGGAACATTGCTGAGGTGGAGGAAACAGCCGTTGTAAAAGCTCTGGGGTGGGATGTGAGCTCATCTTGTTTCCCTTTTAATGAAGACACTCTGACAGACTTTGTGAGCAGTGAGATAGTGGGAAGAGATGAGGGTTGCAGAGGTGGGCAGAAGCCAGAAGCTAAGTTAGGATGCTGTGTTGGAGAGCAGCTGGGACAGTGAGCAAGGGAGTGACATGATTTACAGGGTCAGGTGTCTGTAGTAACTAATGCCAGAGATAATAGCTGGGCCAGGGTGGTTACTGTGGAAAGGATGAGCTATAACTGTGGAACCCATTTTGAAGCTGAGTCAAAAGGACTTATGAGTAGCACAACAAAGAGCTCAATAAGCCATATGGACCTTGGTGTAAGACTTTGGGACCAGATACCCAGACTGCCCCTTGTTAGCTGGCCATGTGCACCTACCAGGCCTCTCATACACATCTTGTTTCTTGGATGCAATGTTTTCTTTTGTGTCGATAAAGACTAGTGATGACTTTCATTTGCCTATGTTGTCTTACTTCCTTAGAGTTGCTTTGTATTGTGCTTGTTTATTCAGCATAAATGCATACATAATTAAAACATTAAGCTTGACTGAAAACTGTAGACCATATGAAAATTGATGCTTAAAACGGGCTTCTTTCTCAACTAGAAATAAAATATGAAGCTCCAGTGGCTGAATATTGGAGATTGTGTTGGTTTGGGGGATATTTTTGCAAGGGGAAGCAATATATAATACAGGACACATTTTATATGATTATTTATAATAGTCACCCAAAGAATAATATACAAAAGAGTGCAGGAAATCTGTCCACACACTAAGACCAAGGAATCCAGCTAAGGGCTGAATCCCATGGAAATGTCCTGCATGAGTCCAGCTGAAGACCTAGAGCTCATGACAATGCCCCAATGAGTCCACCTGGAGACCTAGAGTCCATAACAATATCTCATGCGGGCCTGTTTCATGGATCTGCTCTGGGAAGGCCAAAGGTCAGTGGTGGAATCTAGAAAGTCTGTGGCAGCGGGATGAAGGATCTGTGCTAGCAGCCTGAGGGATCTGCACTGGAGCCAGGAAGCAATGCTCAAAGTAAGAACCAGAGGGCCCCTGGAAGGTACCACAGCTGTCTTCAGCAACAGTGAGGTTCCAAGCTCTTCCAGTGATCTAGATGGCCGAGTTCCCATCAAGGAAGCCAACACGGCAAGCTTCTCCAGGAGACCAGCAGTGCACCATCTTCCCCTCCAGAGCCAGGAAGCGATGCTCAAAGTGAGGACCAGAGTTCCCCCAAAGAACCGAAGCCATTCTCAGTGCCAATGAGGTCCCAAGCTCCTTGGAGGATGAAAACAGCCAAGTTCATCAGGAAAGCCAGCAGGATGAGCTCCTCCAAAACAACCAACAGCTCCTTACAGCTTCTCCCAGCTCCCAACAGCCTCTCTTAGCTCCCAATAGCCTTTCTCTGCTCCCAACAGCCTCAGTTCTCCAGTTCTGTCTGTTATGCTGCTGGCAACAGTCTCCAGGTGGGCCTCGCACACCCATCACCATGCTTACTCAGTTCAACTGGGGGTTGTAAGTTGACCAGTGGTCAATCTGCCACAGAGATTTAGGGCATAATTTAGGGGGTAGTTTGCTGTCTGGAATGAGGTATGAAATGACTGCAAGACCTGGAACATGTGACACTGCTTATAAAGGATTTAGAAAGGCAACTTTAGGCTGAAGTTTGAGTATCTGTAAACATGCAAGTTTAACATTTTCCAGCATGGATAGTGGAAGCGATTATATAATCACAGCCTCAGTTAACAGTCTGTAATTTAAGTCCAAAAAGAAGATAAATAATTGAGCTTTTATGTGCTAGGCATTGTAGTAGGTGCTTTGTGTATCTGTTTTAACTGGACAGAAATGTATAATGAACTGTATAATGTTTTCCTCACCTTTGTATCTCAGTGCTCATAAGCAGCACTCAGAAAATGGAATGCATAAAAAGAAAGAGGATCTTGTTTAAAGGGGGGGTTAGTAAATACAGGTTGCAGTGCAGGTTCTGAAATTTTAATTATGTTTTAAGAGAAATAGGACTAAATATCTACTTAGCAAAAATACAGTAATCTAGAGTAACAGCGACAGAGTTAACTCTAAAACGAACGAACTCAGAGGAGAGGAAGGGGAGTTTTCAAGTTCAGACTCCTTTGTCCGGGTGAGGGCGGAGCCGGGAGGCTGGGCCCTTTGAGGCCAATCAGCAGGGTGGCAGACGGAAGCGGCCAATCGCGATGCAGACCGACCTCCCCCACTGTCCCCTCGCACTAGCCAGAAGGACTGGGCACCCCCAGGACCAGGTGAGCGCTGCTGTGTACCTGCCCGCCAGGAGTAACATCGTCTCATTGCAACCGCTCCTTGGGGAGTGGGCGTGAAAGGCAGAGAAGCACACGCTCCCTGGCGCTGGAGAGAGGACCACGCAGCCGGGTGAACTACCTTACAGGTCCCGGCAACTGACGGTAGCAGATGTTGGGGGAAACGGTCGCAACATAGGATTTCTCGGGTTTGGCCCACGCGGCATCCCCGGTAACCAAAGCCGGGGGCTGAGGAGCGACCTTAAACGGTTGCAGGTTGGCTGTGGAGCTGAAAGGCAAGTTGCTAGCCGGCTGCCCTCCCCGGGTAGAGTGTACATAGAAACCGTTGCCAAGGCTGGGGGATGCCATTTCCCTCCGTTCTGAACCTGCAGGGGGCGCCAGCAGTGCGGATGCTGGAAAGAAGGTGTCTGGGAGGGAGACTGCCAGGTTTTCGCGTTACTAGGGTTACCACTAGGCCATGGCACTTTGCACCTAAAGTTTACTGATAAATTGAGGATATGGGAAGTGGAAGTGGATCAGGATGAAGGGAAGGGAATTAAAATCAGCTAGGAGGGCCGGGGATATAGCTCAGTGGTGTAAACGCCTGCCTGGCCAGTGTAAGGTCTTGAGTTCAATTCCCGGTACCAAAAAAAAAAAAACAAAACAAAAAACCAGCTAGGACTAAATATTTTTCTAATCAGAAGCAAAGACTTTGCAAAGAGATGTGGAAAATTTCTCAGGCGAGCAAGTAAAGGGAGACTTTAGAACAGACAGAACTTCAGAATTGACATTTAGTAATCTTGAGAAGGTGTATCGTACACGGAGAAAAAAGCCACAGTAGTTTGAAAAAGGTTCTCAGAGATATGTTACAGGAGTGTTCATAATGACATTTGATTGGGTAAGAGATGGTTCTATCATTTCACGTTTTTCATTACACTTTTATTCAAATCAAAATGTCACTGGTTGCAGGATACTTTCAATTTACCTTAATCTGTTTAAATCCCAGTAGATGCTTAATTCTGTCTCACAAAAGATGCTCCAGTTCTTTGGAAAATTCCCCCAAGGCACCCCTTTCTACTCTGTGCAGTGTCAATAATTTAAAAGTTCGTCATCGTTCTTTCCTGTTACTGTCACTCTTATTATCCTTGTGATGAGAGCCATTTGTCATTCTGGGCCCTGCCCAGAATCTAATTTCTCAGCTGGGTCTCATCCCAAAGCCTAAGAAGCGTGTCTACACTCCATACCCAATTCTAAGCCAGCAGGAATGTGGAGAAATTGACAGAGGTCTCTCTCTGCACAGGTCTGATATATGACCAGATTCCCAGAGAGAAGTCATGCTGAAATACTTCTATGAATTAGACTTATTTTTACTTCTGTTTTTTAAAATAATCACCCAATAGGTTTTAGTGCAATTGTTTTTTAAAAACTTTGACAGTGACTCCCAATAGAAATACATTTCACTTTGCAGCCATGTGTGTTCACACACATAATTTCCATTTATATAGACATGGAATAAAAATTTTTATAAAATAATATTTAATGTTATATGCCAGGTAGTCTTTTTAAATTCAATTTTACCGCATTATAAAGCAATACTGGTTACACGATCCCAGACACATGCACAGAACAGTTCCCAAAGCCCTGTGCCTGGACTTCTGAGAACTGGAGCAGGTTTTCAATAGGATGGCCTAGACCTGATGTAAGCCTGAGGCATGGGATCCCAGCACTGCCTCTCAGGACTCGTATGTGGATGTTCTCGTTGGTTTCCTTGATATATGGACAGCAAAAAGGAGAGGTGCCACAAGAACTTGCTATTGTGGCCTTTCTTCACAGTAGCCCCCACCTGCTTTCTCCGGGCTATCAATTTATCTTGCTTTTTCCTCTTTTACTCAGCCCAAGTTTGCTCGCAGAGCCACTTTCTCCCCCACTCTTCACTTTTACTTTCTTGAATAAACTTTGTCACTTCAAAAAAAATGCTGATCACAACTCTAAATTGATTTAATGAATCAGCAGCTGTAGTTTGAAAAGTACAGGTATGATGGTTAAGTATATGCACTCTATAGCCTACTGAGATTCATTTCTGTAGTGGACTTGTTAACTTGCTTATCTATAAAATGGGAATAATTATCAGCATTATTGTTTTCTTTCTTTATTTTTAGTGTTGAAAATTGAATCCATGGCCTCATACATGCTAGGCAATTGCTCCACCACTGAGCTATATGCCTAACCCTGAGAGTAGTTATTAATATTTTTCATAAGAGTGGCTTTGAAGATTAAGCAAGATAACTTATGGCACATGGTAATTCAGTTCATAAATGTCAGCTGTTATTATTGCTCTTACATATAACAAAACCTACCTGATACAGTAGTTGGAGAATTAAATAATAAGTGTTAAGTATATACGTCTATGTCATATATCATATATTCTTAGGATAGTGCCCAGAACTATATCAGTATTGCAGTGATTATTATCTCCATCATTAGCAGTAGTGTCATTAGAGGGTAAGTGTCCAAGCCCTTCTTATTCCTAATTCAATTCAGTAAGTATTTCTTAAAGGATATACTGTTACTGTTACACAAGAAAGAAACTTCTATCTATGTTGGGGTTTGTGGCTTGAGGCTAAAACAGCCACTGAGTGAAATTTTACAATCCTTATTTTCACGTTACACCTGCCTTCAAGTATACCCACTGTTGGATCTGGTTTTCTAAGTGTACATAACTGCTCTGAATAAGAAATTCCACATGTTATATACTCTAGATGCCAGTTGGAAAGCTATATAACCCAAAACATGACAGTTAATTCTTTTTAAAAGGAACATAATAGTAACAATCTTTTCAGAGAAGATACCTTCAGGGCAACAGTTTTCAATCTTTAATCTACTGAACCTTTGGGATTTTGTAAAGGTGCCTAAGTGTCACTGAAACAGTAGGCTATACAGATAAACACTCTGGTGCAGTGTAAGAGAGTCTAATTTCTCCCAACTCAGATAATTGGGATGTTAACAGCTAAAGTAAAAAGCCATTCAAAAATCAATTTTAAAGGATACTTTATAAAGTAATTTGAGGCCAGGCATGGTGGTGCAAGCCTGTAATTCCAGCATGTGGGAGGCTGAGGCAGGAGGATCACTGGGAGTTCAAGGCCAGCCTGGGCTACAAAGTGTGTTTAAGGCCAGCCTGAACTGCATAGTGAAGCTGTCTCAAAAAGACACACACACACACACACACACACACACACACACACACACACACAGAGTAATTTGAACAAGGTATGGTGGCACATCCCTATAATCCTATCTTTAGCTACGTGGTGAGTTCAAGGCCAGCCTAAACTACATAGCAAGACCCTGTCTCAAAAAGAAATAAAATAGCTGGGTGTAGTGGTGCACACCTGTAATCCTAGCACTCAGGAGGCTGAGACAGGAGGATCGCTGCAAGTTCAAGGCCAGCCTGGGCTACATAGTGAGTTCAAGACCAGCCTGAACTACATGGTAAGACCCTGTCTCAAAAAACAAAACAAAAACCAAACAAATAGAAAGAAATAAAATAAATAAAAAGCAATTTCAACACCAAAGCCAGCCTTGTCATTATATCCCAGTTTTGCTTAAGTAAAGATTGGATGAAATGATCCATGTATGACACATAGTAATTTATCTCCATAAATATTAGCTTATTATCAGGGAGAGAAAGTTCAGAATGAGTAGTCTCCATCCTTAGAAAAATCACTCCACCTCTTTTCCTGTCGGAGTACCCAGATGGATACTACTATCCAAACTGAGCACTGATGTGTATATATTAGGTTCACTTCTGTTTTCCTATCCTATGTTTCAGCCATGACTGCCAAAGATCACCCATCATTGTGGGGCTTTGGAACAACAAAAGCATTTAACATTCCTGTTGAACATTTGGATTTCAAGTATATTGAAAAATGTTCAGACATTAAACACCTGGAAAAAATTCTTTATGTGCTCAGGTAAGCATTTAAAAAGCATTTCATGTTTTGGTATGCCAATTTTTATTATGTTGCTGTTGCCTTCTAAAAGTTGAAGGAACAACAGAAGTACTGGAGAAAATGTTAGAGTATTTAGTTATAGAACCTATGGTGGGTTCCAAAACATTGGTTTTGATTCTGTGGTTAGTTTGGAGAGCTCTGGCTAGGTCTACTTCCAGCATGAGACTTAAGCTAATGAGTACCTAAGAAGGCATTTTTCTTGCTTTCTCTACATTTACTATGAAAAGGTAAAGCAACCATCAGGAGGAAGGTTATCTCACCAGCCATGTCCCGTGTTCTGACAACAAAGGATAGGGACTACTGCAAGCTGATCACACGGGGCACAGGGCCTTCTCTTCGTGGTGGTCATCAAACTTAACTGTATATGGGATTTGGTTGTTGAAAATGCAAATTTGAGGGTCTCAATCCCAGGAATTCTGCTCCAGGAAATCTGGGGTGGGACTCAAATATGTGTTAACGATCCAGCTGATTGATTGTTAAATACTGGTGGTCAAGAAATCCACTTGAAGAAACCCTGCCCTGCAGAGTACCAGCCTGGGACAGTTCTTTTGGGTTTCTGGAGCTGTTTTCCTCGGGAAAGCAAGTTCTATTGCAGAAGGCACTTGTGGAGCATGAACCTTCTTTTCCAGACTTAGCATTCTTGCAGCTCAGCGCTGGTTCTTGCTTTTCTTTCTTTCTTTCTTTTTTTTTTTGATACTGGGAATCGAACTCAGGACCTTGTGCTTGCAAAGCAGGCACTTGTGCCCCTGAGCTATATCCCTGGCCCCATTTCTTTTCTCTGTTTTCCATGTTGCTGTGCTCTTCGCTTCTCCTTCATCACCTTCAGCCTCCTGTCTTTCCTGCCCGAGTGATGTAATAACTTTATCCTTTCTGAAATGGAAAGATGAAAAATCATACTTGTTTTTCTCAGCAGAATGTTATCATTCATACATAAATATATATATTTGGTGTGGTATTGGGAGCTCAGGGAATGCTGTGCACTCAACAGTATCCCTAGCTGTTTTGTTACCAGGTCAGACTGGGAAAGTTCACTGGAAATTGAGGCATCCCTCAGCAGACACGGAACTGTGCACTCGGTTAAACACTTTTTATTCAGCCATTTAGCTACCTATAGTCTATCTGTTCAGCTGCTCTTATGGTCTCAGCCTCTGTATAGTCCCTGCAGTCCTCAGGCCCCTGACCCCTGGCCTGCCCATTCTCACAGCAGTCCTTGGGTGCTTAGTCTACATTTATACCAAAATGCACTATAGTGGCCATGTGCCAGTGATGGCCTTGGCTCTGTGAGCTATTTACACCAGCCAGCGTTGACCTTGGGTGCAGAAGTTATTTACTCTGGGGCACCTGGAGATGCACCTGTCCTGGAGCTCTGTGGACACGGAACACACTGCCTCCAAGTTCCCTTCCCTTCACATCCTTAACCAAATGTCTGAGTCTCTTTTCTCTCATTGCTCAGACAAAATACCCAACGCTCAAAGGGAAACGGGGACGGTTTACTTGGCTCACAGTTTGTGGAGGTTTCAGTTCACACTCAGCTGACTCCACGGCAGGGCAGCATGGCACAGGGGCAACAGTTCAAGGTGGCAGAAGACAGCAAAAGCAACAAGAGCAAAAGGGGGAGACAAGCCTCTTTCTGTACCTTATACTGTGTCCAGGCTACTGGGATTAGGGCAGTGCCAATCCAATCAGCGGACTGATTCAGCAATCACCCACTCTTAATCCCAGCACCCTTAATCCCAGCTTTGCACACCCTAGATTCAGCCACCTCTGAAATAGTTCTATGACTGCATGAGGCTTTGGGGGGACATCTAGACACAAACTGTAACACCAAAGTAACACCCTCTTGTACTTTCAAGTTTTCCTACAGTAGCTGTTGTTTATTTTAATTTTAATTAGTTAATGTGTGTGTGTGTGTGTGTGTGTGTGTGTGTGTGTGTACCCAGGACCTTCATACTGAGCTACATTACTGAGCTACATTCTCTGCTCCCCCTGACCTTTTTTACTTTTTTTTTTTTGAGAAAGGGTCTCACTAAATTGCTCAGGGTGGGCTCCAATTTGCAGTCCTCCTGTCTTAGCCTTCTAGAGTGCTGGGATTATCTGAATGCACCACCATGCCTGGCTCCTTTTTTGTTTTCTGATTTGAGCCAGGGCCTCAATAAGTTCCCCAGGCTGGCCTTGAAGCTGCAATCCTCCTTCCTGAGTCTCTCAAGTAGATATGTATCCACTTTGTCCTTTATATTTGGTCAAGGACTGATTTTTTTTTTTTTTAAATGAGAGGCTTATGGGATGAAAGAGTTTGACGCCATAGGTACAGTATTGGGTCCAAGAAATCTTGTGAATAGTCTAATTACATTCTGTTGACATGGGATTGTTTCTTAAAAATTAATCTGGAAATGGGAAATTTAAGAGTGAAGAGACCTCCAAGAGAAGGGGAATGGTTGATTTTCCTTAAAAACAAACAAACAAACAAACAAAAAAGAAATGCTTCTCTTTAGCTCTTCAAGGAAAGAATTCTGTTTCTTCAGTGGTTGAATATAGGGGTGTTTTGACTAAGCTATTTCTCTGCCATTTTCATCCTCTGCTTTTTTGATTGAACTCTGAACAGAAACTCCTGATTGAAATGTAAGCCCACATTTACTCTGCATGCCTCTAAAACTAATTTCCATTTATATATTTAAAATTGCCTTATGTACAAAATGAACATATGTATGTAAAATAGAAGCAAAACTGGTATTTATTCAACTTTTAGAGTGTGTGATGGAAATCAGTGTTAGAGCTCCTTTTCTCTTCCCTGTATCACTCCACAGATTAGCAGATAAAACAGAGGCTGTGTGGGCTAAACCTTCAGCTTCATGTAGCTCTTGTGATCTCCACTGAGCTTTTGGGCTCCACAGGGCCCCGCTTGCAAACCACTGCTCTAAAGGATTTGTAAATACGGTGCTAACACTAAACTTATAAATATTTTTTTAGGTCTGGTGATGAGGGATATTATCCTGAACTTACAGAATTTTGTGAAAAGCGCCTTAGAGGCTTAGCTCCTGGAAGCAGAGCTCTGAGGAAAGATAAACCTGCATCGACAGCATCCAGTTTTACAACAGAAGAATGGGAAAAAATCGATGGTGATATAAAGGTAGAGAATAACATAGGTTTCTGATAGACTTTGTAGTGACCTTGTAGATGTGTCTACTTTACTAACCTGAAATCTTGGGCTTCTTGTTCATTAGTAAAGGGGTTTTAGTGGTAATTACTTAGGATTAATTGGTGCTTTTTACACCTAGAAAATACTATGAATTTTCATTTGAATGTGCATTTTAGATGGCTAGATAATACTCCATCCTATAAAAGAATAGTATTTTTATGTTTATCATTACGTGTGTTCTGTACAAAATGTACATTCATCACGGGGAATTGGTACATGTACATAATACATCTCAATTCTAAAAGAATCATAATTTAACCAGTTTCTATAAATACTGCTATATAAACATGTTTGTAGTTTTGTGGTCTTTCTTTACATCTTCCTGATGACTTCCTCTGTATAAATTATTAGAATTCAAAGTATTTGACCACATGATTGGAATAGTTTTAAGGTTTTTGAAACATTCTTTTGTTCTCAGAAAGACAAGTTGTACCTTCCTACTGACACATCAGTAGGATGATATAGAATATTTATATCATTTCAAAATTTTCCTTTTGCCTTTTTGCAGTTAGGTTTACCCAATACCTTGGCTCTGGCAAGCACCGAACTGCTGTCTGTCACCATAATTTTGCCTTTTCTAGATGTTTAGATAAATATAACCATATAATATATTGTTTTTGTGTCTGTCTTCTTTCACTTAGCATGATGCTTCCCAGATTATCTATGTTGTTGCAGGTTTCCATAGTTCATTACTTTGAATTGTTTAGTATCAGATTGTATGAACTTTCTGCTGTTTATCTATTTACCAGTTAATGAACAAAATACCAAAATGTTTTCTAAATTGGCTGTACCATTATGCAGCCCTGCCTGCAATGTATAAACTTTCCAGTTGCTTTGTATATTGATTAATATTTAATATTGCCAGTTTTGTTAATGTTCATCATTCTACTAAGTAAGAGTTAGTAATATTCCTTAGTTAGGTAAGGGTTAGTAATATCCCTCAGTTATTATGGGCTGATCAGGTCCGCAATCTCCTGAACAAGTGTACGGCAAAGGCTAAATAAAAAGAGGAAAATGGAATGATTTCAGGGCTCCAGGAGGATCAAAACCCTCTCACAGAATTTGAGATTCTCTTAAGGCTAAGACCAAGATGTTCTCTGGGTGGCCTGTATTTATTTGGTTATCAGAAGAAGGCAGGGGAGTATTCAAGAAGGGTGGAATTACTCAAGGACTTCTCCAAGTAAGATATTAAATTAATCCTTAATAAGGATTAAGTTAATCCACCCAGGAGTGAAATGCCTGAGGCTATAATCTTCATCTAGTTGAGATCAGATCCAGGTGTCCTTGGCTGTGATCTTGTCTTATCCTATGAGACTTTCTGGCTTCATCCGCCATTACAGGTTTTAGTAGGGATTAATGACTCCCAGAGGTTCACTTACTATATGAGTGCATCACCCACTTCCAGAGAAGCAGCCTAGGCTTTGAACAGATTCACAAGTAAACATAAAAAGCCAGTTGGTTAGTTTAACTCCTGCTCAGGGCTGCCTCATACTGATCTCCATCATTAACGTTCATCATTCTACTAGGTAGTTAATGGTATCTTATTGAGGTTTTAATTTGCATACCTCTAGTGACTAACGATGCTAAGTGTCTTTTCATAATGCTTTGTTGCCATCTGTGTATCTTCTTGTATGAAGAGTCTTTAAATTGTTTGCCCATTTCAAAAACTTGGGTTTTTTGTTTTTTATTATTGAGTTGGAAAATATATGTCTTTTTATGGTACATGTTTTGCAGATATTTTTATGATACACTATGGCTTCCTTTTCCATTTTTAAACAGTAGTTTTGGAAGAGCAAAACTTGTAAATTTTGATGAAATTATTTTTTCTTTACACTTTGGGAGCTTGTTTGGAGGTTCTGTCAGGGGAGCGCAGCTACTTGTATACCCTTGACCGAGGAACAGCCCTCCTGTGTCAGGGGTGGTCATCCTCTTTGACGAAGCACGCAGCTACAGGAGGGAACATTGAGGAAGGAAGGGGACACCCGCCTAGCCAGCTCGATCAACCGAATCAACCCCGGTGATCAATGGGGTGATGGGTGTCACAGGTAGATTGCCCTCACATGTGTTCTTTACACTATGGGACTTCAAGCTCTATTTAGGAAATCTTTATTCAATCCATGGTTCCTAAGTTTTTTTCCTAGAAAGTTTATAGTTTTAACTTTTTATTTATTTATTATTTAACTAAATTTATTGGTACATTTTAGGTATACAGAATGATCATATTCATCATAGGGAATTTATACCTGTGCATGCTATAACTTGATTCTTTTTTTCCCCCTTCCTCTATCCTCCCTTCAACCACTCTTCCCCTCCTCATTTGCAAACATTTTATTTCCATTTCTTCCTTCTTTTCCCTCCCTTCCTTTCTTTTTCTCTTTTCCTTTCCTTCCTTTCACCCTCCCCCCTCTCTAATTCCCCATCCCATTTGAATATTTTCTTCCTATTTCAAAATATCTTTTATACATTTTGATCCGTATTTACACTTTCAGTTTCTTATGCTAGAGAAGGAATCTGGTATTTACACATTTGTGTCCAGTTTATTTCACTTAAGAGCATGGTCTAGCTGGGCATGATGGTGCACACCTGCAGTCCCAGCAATCAAGAGGCTGAGGCAGGAGGATCGCTGTGAGTTCGTAGCCAGCCTGAGTTGCAAAGTGAGTCCAAGGCCAGCCTGGACTGCATAGTGAAACCCTGTCCC